AGCAAGGCGCCTCGCTTAAACATTGCTTAATACAAACAGGGTGTGTAAATATATTTACAAATGAAAAAGAATTAAAGGATTAAAATATTACAAAACGTGACAATTTGCTTTTATATAATGTTATTATTAGTAGTAGTATTATTTATTATATGCACATTTATATTTGTTTTATGAAAAACAAGCTTTGATTTGCCCACCTGTCAGGTTTTAGTCCATATGAGGCACAGCATGTGCATTTGGATATAACTCAGTTTTTTGACCACACTTCGTTATTATTGTCCATTTATTCCTTTGCTGGAAATTAGAACTGAATTTAAAAACAGTTTTGAAACAAATCTTTGCGCTTAATTATCAAAATTAATTATGTATAGGCTAATGGATGTCTGTGCGTACAGCACGTTTCCCTATCCACGAGAGTGTAATGAAATAATGAGGAGGCTCATCTCTCATTCTCGCACTGTAGATGCTCTGTTTAACTGTTTTCTCGCTAGTGAAGGGTTTAGTTTTTCCACTTACAAAATCCACCAAGTAAATAGCAGATGCGCTATGGTGCGACAAAACTGACTCCTAAAGGGAATGGGATAGGAGACTCTGATTGGTTTATTCTCAAAACACACCAGAACTCATTAAGAGAATAAGCTCAACCCTGTTAGATCATGCGCCATGGCACAAAGCGAATTTTTCTGTCCTTAAGACAGCAAAAGTGGATTCCAACACGCCGTTAATGCTCTTTTTTCGTGCCCTGTGCTTTGGTCTTTGCGCATGGATCGTCAAAATAGAGGAGCCCATATGTTTTCAATATGTGGTTGAGTCAAAATGTTTTTATTCAATTCATCTTTATTTCTATAGCGGGTTTACAGTAGATTGTCTCAAAGCCACTTAATATAAAAGTTCTAGTAAATTAAAACTGTGTCATTTTAGTTTTCAGAGTTTTCAGAGTTGAAGTTCAGTGCAGCTTCAAGCTACAGGTATTTTATTAGCGTGCATAAAACTGAAATAACGACTTTATTTAACAGTTTCTTCTCCTGAGTGTCAGTATATTGCTCATGTTCATGAGCAGACACATCCAAAGTAAAACATCAGAGGCTTGACCATGCACAAAATGTGAATGTGCGCCCTTTACTGACACTGAGAAGAAGAAACAGCTGAAGTTGTTATTTTTGTTTATTGTGTGCACAAAAGTATTCTTGTAACTTAATGACATTCTGATTAAACCGTTAAAGATACTAAGACTGTTTTGGGAATGTTTTTTGGTACCATTTTGGAGCTTTCAGATTTAATCTTAAATAACTTAACCTGTGTTCTGAGGACGAACGAAGATCTTAGGGATTTGAACCACGAGTGTGTATTTAATATCATCTTTTAAATTTTTGGAGTAAATTAACATTTTAATTCAATGTTCGATTAAATATGGACAACCATTATGTTAAAAATGTCATTTAAGTTGAAAAAAAAAAAAAAAAAAATATATATATATATATATATATATATATATATATATATATATATATATATATATATATATA